CCTAATGTTGCTGGGCAGTATGGCGTGAACAGGTCTACAGTAGGCAGCAGTTCAATCTTATTTAAGAAAAATACTGTATAATCCAGAAGACTCAAGCAGCTAAAGGAGTAACAAAAATCAAATCTGAGAAATAAAAAACATCGAAGAGTTCATAATGGAACCCGAATCGGATCTGACGATAGAAGAACGCTAAGAACTCTTGAATGAAGAACACCAAGAATCTCGGCGAGGTATGTTTTCTTCTGAAAAAGAGGATTAATGCCAATATCTGTTATTAAAGATCATTTGAAGAAGTGGGAGGATGTCAGAACAACGGTCTTAGAATGGCATCTAAACCAGGTTGAGGCTTGGGGATTTCTACAATTGCAATGCTATTAATTACTTACGAAAAATCCTGAAGAAGAGGGAAAAGCAATCGACATTAGACAGATTCTTTAACCCTTTCAAACGGAAAAAAGCATGACTAATAAAAATGCAAGACTGTGTATGTATGTATTTTTATTATTACGTATAAATAAATGTAATAAAGATGTATATATTTTTTATTTTGGGGGGTCTCCAGAACGAATTAATTAAATTCCCATAGAAATCTATGTAAATCGATAATCGGTTAACGAACAATTCGGATAGCGAACAAAGTCTTGGAACGGATTATGTTCGTTAACCGATCACCCACTGTATATTATTATATAATATATTTATGTATATTAATATATGTAGTATATGGTAAATATATATAATTTTAAAAATAGAACATTGTTTCATATTTTTAAAATAAATATTTTATTTTAAAAATATGGAACAATGTTCTATTTTTTTTAAATTGCAGTTTTGCGACAATCTGAAATAAAACTGTGTGTTTCATTTTTGCTTCTCTTATTTTTTTTTATAATTGTTTAAAAACAGTTTTTATAAAGCTTATAAAGTATAAAACATAATCATATTGAATACATAAATTTATAATTACAATTGACACTTTACAATATAATAAATTTTATAGTAAATTTTCACCAATCTTCCTGCAATTTTTGACAATCTCTTGATTAGGAGAGACTATTAACAGTAAAATAAAGAAGTTACCAAAGTAAAATTTCTGTAGAAGTTAACAAAAGTGACTGATTCTCTTGAATACAATAAAAATGATCAGCTTAATTTAGTCGAGTGTTCAAAAACATCTGACTGACTGATTATTTACAATCATGCCTAACACCTAATTCCTAAAGATAGTTTATGTTTAGCATAACTGAAAATCAACACAAAATTTTAGTGTCAGTTTAACTCTGTATGATGTGTACTACAGACAGTTATTGAAATTAAAGAAAACTTTAATCAGACTCAAATGTAAACAGAAGTTCAAATACAGGGAAAGAGTGATTTTTGCCCCTTAAAAAGTGGAAAAAAACATAAATTAATATTCAGGCTAATATTTTGTAATTTGTGAATTATTACTACTGATATATGAAATAAGAAATAATATACTCAAACATGAACTCTGTTGAAACTGGTACAAATTCAGAAAAAACAAACCAACTCTTTTTATTTCATATGTACTAAGGAGAAAATAATAATTATGCCAATTCACAAATAAGGATGCAATCAAATTGTTGTTTAATCAATTTCTTTAAAATTATTACCACGTTTCCTCAATTCTAATGCACACTTTTTTTTGGACTTTTCTGCTCTCAAAAATTAGGGTGTACATTAAAATCAGGCACAACATCAACTTAACACAACCACATTCACATTATTTGCTCTTCACACTGCTCAGAAATTCACATTTAATACATCATCAGTATAGACATGTACACATTTCTTCCACTACTTTGATTTTAATTTTGGTTTTGATTTGCTAATCTTTTGAACTACAGTGAGTTGTCCAGCAGATGAGTCTCCTATAAAACTATGTTTAAGTAATGAGTTATCCATTATGCTAAAGAACATATATACAGATATTTCAGTGTGATACTATGTATCTGATAAATTTCATGCTCATGCATACTGTGTAAATCTCACTTTTAAAACATTGATTGTACAGTAATTGTGACTGATACTGATTTTGTTTAAGTCTGCAGATCTTCTGTACTTGATAATGGAATCATAAATAAATACATTTGAAAATGTAAACATCATGAAGCACTATAAAAATGAAAATAACATGTTTTTCAAAAATTTATCTACTATATTAAATACATTAACTTTTTGTGGTTGTGTTTTCAGTGAAAGTTAGTTGTGCATTATCACAAGCTAACTTTTTTCAGGTTTTGACATCTCAAAAATTGGATGCATATTACATTTGAATTAAGAATTGAGAAAACACAGTAGAAATATAGTAAGAATTTGAACAATAGTGACTTTAAAGTATTTTAAATAAAGTTAAATTAATTTACCAATCACAGCTTGAATCTGGACACGAAGATAACCTTTGATATCACCCTTCTCATTGACAATAGCAACTTTTTGAATTAATGGTACAGGATGCAACAAATTACTCATGTATACAAATGCCCTGAAATAGATATAATTAAATTAAATTTATAATCAAAATATTTATTGAAAATTTATTTAAATTAATTAAATAACTATTTTAATAAGTATTGATGATAATTAGTAATAATAATACAATAAGACACTATTAAATGAAGAGCATCTAAACTTTGAAGGATAACATAAAGAACAGGAAAACAAAAAAAACTGTGAAATGTATTCACTAAACATAAAAGAGTTAGAAAAAATATTACATTATATTAACTTTGTTCTTAATATTGCAAACAAAATTGATGCAAATTGAAATATATTAAGGTAAAATGAGGAAGATAATATATATATATGATTTTAATGAAAGTTAATATAGAGAAATGTTAATTATAGATAACAATCTTCTATCAAACAACTGATTCTCAAATATTTGATATTAACATTAGTAAAATATATTAGGAAAGATGTTAATGTTTTGATTCAGAAAATTTCCAGGTTAATACTTTTCTAATATCTGAAAATATTATTATAATTTTAATGATTAGTCATCCTGGTAGTGTAATTGGCAATGCATCTGGCATGAAACAATGATAAAAACAATAAATCATCAACAACATTATTTTTACAGAAAAATTTCACAATACTGATGAAAATATGTTTTAAAGCATAATTACAATTTACAATAAGATACAATCTTGTGACAGTTAATTATTAACAATTATTGATATGTTTTAAATATAACAGCGAGTTTCTATACTGCTTATTAATAACTAAATCAGTAAAAATGATGCACATTTTAAAATTATGAATTATATAAAAACCCCACTAAATTTTTAGTTACCTTCCAATTAAACGGAACCAGGGAAATCGATCATAAAATGGATCACCACCAATAATGCTTTCAACGTTATAATCCGGAGAAGAGGGAGAGAGTTCTGCTTCATTTTGATACATTTCTCTCATTAATTCTAAACGTTGTCTAAACATTATAAAATATTAATATTAAAATTTCCTTTTCATAAATAAATAATTTTACAAAGTTCTCTTGTTTTACCTCAATTTACTCAATGTCCAATAATGAGTAGCACCATTTTTCAAGTCTTGAACTTCCACAGCTACAATTGTATGTGGATATGGTCTTTCTTCTAGATCTTCTGCAGGTAACATATCAGGTGATAGAGGAGAGTATAATGTATCAGTTAAAAGTGTAAACTGAAATAGTACCTAAAAAAATTAAAGAAAATATTAGAAACTCAAAAATTTTAATTTACAAAAACATAAATGTAAGAAATATAATTTTATGATTTACTATATAAATTAACCTAAACACCTGACATTGCCTGAAAAACTGTAATGATGATGTAAGTAAATAAAATTCTGTTATAGCTAAAAAACAAGTAAAACGGCAAGGCTGTATTTGGAACAAGACTATGTCTCAGAGACTTGCTACTAAGTGGAATCGCTTTGATGCTCAAAGCTGATCTCATTCTCATTCTCCAATCTTCTTTGGTATCACTGGTTTTAAGTGTGATCTTTCAAACTTCGCTGGCCACGATGCATTTTCGGTGAAATTAACCTAACCAATTTTGAAATTTCTCAACATTGAATAATGTCACTGGTTAAATTTTTGTCAATGCCTAATGAAAATTTCCTGTTATTGAAAAAAATATCATATCATCTGAAATTATTTTTTTTTTTATTTTGCACAAACAATATATATACATTAATAAATATAGAAAAAACAAATTATATTTCAGAAGTTAGTTTTAATATAAAATTATAATGACTAGCGCCATCTACTTCAAAAAAAGGTTCCAATGCTAAAACAAGATATCTCGAATCAACCAGTCAAGGTCAGTACGTTAAAACAAAAGTCAGGAATAACATGAGACAGGTAAATGGGTTTTTTCAAAGATTCTTTTGTCAAAATTCGATTTTTCATTTCGAACTTCCCAACACACGTTGTCAAAATTCGATTTTGCAACAAACGTTTGCATTTCCAATGAGCAACGCATGTGCAAATCTCGCACTATTGCCAGTTTGTAGAGTGTGTTGCCATTTTGAATTTATTTTGACTCAGTTCTCAGTCCTGAGTACCTACAAGTCTGGTTTCTTTTATGCACGCATGATTTGGTCACCTAATATTCTGGCCAAATTGCAACTCCTGACATGTACTCCTTCATACCTCTAAGCTGGTAACACAGCAGGCAGTACAGTTTTATAAACAAGACATAGTCTTGTAAATAACATATAATATACAATGCATTTAGACACACTCAGAGATAATGAAACTAGAGATGAAAATGAAAAATGAGATGAATTAATCCATGCTCTACTTTTAGTATAGTACAAAAATTTAGCCTCTTTTCTACTTTAATTTTTGTAGAAATAAATTGGTTATTAAGAAATAGGATTTCATTCTTATTTTGGACAAATAAAGTAAATTTATGTATGGGAACCTGGATCATGCATTTGCATTACTTTAGAATTCAACCAACTCTGCCATTCTAAGAACTCTGTAAATGAACCAAAATATTCATCAAATGTATTCAATTTACTACTTAATTAATTTAAACCTAATTAATTTTTAGTCTTCACCTGAACAAAGTGGAATGTATTAAAAAAATTTTGAGCAAGAGACATTTTTAAGTTTCATAAATTTTTTATTTTTTAGACATCTGTATACACAAAATAACAAAATATTCATAGAGGCAAAAGTCTGTTATGCAATTTGTTGTTGACAATTTGTTGCTTCTTGCTCAAGAGTGTTTTTGAGGCAAATGACCGAGACAAAAACATCTTGTTTTATATATGATGTGGTTCTAGTACAGATGTGGCCAACAGTGTTTGCTCCCAGGCCGAATTGGAAAGAAAACTTTTTCCACAGGCCAAATCAGAGGCTGCCCTAGGAAGATTTTGAGGTGGTGTGAGATCTCATTGTGGTGTCATCCGTAGAGACTAAATTGTAGATAGAAATTTTTTTAGGAGTCAGAATTTTTCATCAAGCTATTCGGACTTGAGTTGCTAATATTGAAAGATTGATCACGGGCCGCATAGATTCATTAGGCAGGCCGTATGTTGGCCATGCCTGTTCTAGTATATCCCTTAGAAGCTTGAAAGCTTTTCTTGCTTTCATATATGTCAAGGGCAAATATCCTTTATTATATCCAAACTGAGAGCAATCAAGCAATTAAAAGGCATTCAGATGAGACCTATTCTCAACAAACTGATAGAAAAATACAAATTACTCCTCACCATACTGGCATAAAAATGGGTATAAAGCTTATTACAATGGACAAAGAATCATATCCTTAATCAATTAAATCATCATTACAGTTAACTGAAAAGCTTAGCAACTTCAATCTTATGAATAATGAGTAAACAGTAAACAGTCCTTAACTTTGTGTCAATGTTTCCATTCATTAAAATTGAACCATACTTCTGTGCATTCTGGGACTTATGCTTAGTATCATCCCCAACTCACAAAAATACCATAAATATATTATTGGGCTTGCCCATTTAATATGTCATTCATTCTTTTTCTAGTTCAACAAAAAAAAAACCTATATATGACAGAGCATTCCAATGGGCAGTCCATATCAGGACACTTTTGCAAACTAATACTTAGAGATTTCTATGTATAACGTCCTTTTAATCCAAAGAATTTTTCTTGGTAGACGATCTTACAGCATTTTGGTTAGAAATTTTTAAAATAAAACTGTAATTTCTAACCAAAATGCTGTAAGATCATCCACCAAGAAAAATTCTTTAGTTTAAAGGACGTTATACATAGAAATTGAATAAACAGCAACTATACTATATTAAGATAATACTTAGAGAGTTAGAGGAACAACCTTACTGGTGTTTAAAAATAAATAATTCTAAGCACATTGGAGTTGTTCTAGTTGTGTTTGTGTTCAAAAGAGAACAGAAACATTAACAAAACTACAACAATCACCACCCTAAATGATCCACAGAAAGGCTAACTTTTCCTCTTAAAGAGAGAATATGAGGCCTCACAGATATCTTAAACTGCATCACAAACAAATACAGATGCCAGAAAGCCACTATACTGAATACATGCCATATTGTTAGAAAATTCCTGAATACACACACACACACTGACACACTTATTTAATTTCAGTTTTGTTTTGGTTGCTATGCCTTGACTGTGGTCCGGCATAGTACACAGCCACCGGTGTGAACCGAGTATAACTCACAAAACCCAACATAATAATAATATACTAAAGTTCATATATTTTTAGTTTTATTTTTTTTCATAAAAATATATATTTAAATTTCTTTATATAAAATATTTATATACAAATTTAAATAATACTTTAATGTATAATTAAATTTAATATGTTAATTGCTGCATTGTAAATAAAGCTACTATATAATCTAATATAAGTAATTACCTTTTTCTTAAGTTCGACACTGATAGCATTGGCTTCTTTTAAAAATATTGCACTTCCCCAGAGATCATCTCTTAATGAGGTAAATTGATGATACTTCCACTTCTGAAAAGCCCAGATAGCTAATTGGTACTGCCTGTCAGTCCATTCTGGTTCTGATAAAATATTCATATAATTAAATATATGATATTTATAATTAAACATAAAATAATGGAAATCATTATAACCTAATATGTCTTCTTCAACAATTACATCATCTACAGTACAAGTACTATACATGCTGGACATCAGAGAATGTTCTTCAACTTGTTTTCGCAGACTTTCAATACAAGCCTCGTAATTCTAAGAAAAAAAAATTAAAATTTCTAATAATAATAATTTAAGTTATTTAAAAAAATTTGTTTCTGTTTTGATCTTCAAACTATCTGTATTCAAAACAGAAACAAAAAACAAAATCTTTGAACAAACCTTTCTTTCTTGTTGAAAAAACTGATCAGCTTCCTCTTTTTCTTTCTTAAACTGTTCTTCTAAAGCTATTAGCCTGTAATTACAGAAATGAAATCACTAAATATTTGTAAAATTCAAACAAAAAAAAAAATTATAGATCAAATTTTAATTTGAATAAACAATAATAAAACTGAAATATTCCAAAACAGATTTTCGAATATTTCAATTTTATTTTCATGAAGTAGGGTAAACAATACAGTTATTGGCCACTTAAGGAAATACAACAGCAGAAAAAACCTGTCAGAATTTTTTGCTACCTACTGACAGCAAACTTGTATTGATACTGCAATGCAATTCTTCATAATAGATTTTATAGAACACTTATTGCAGAGATCTATATTTGAATTAACAAATAACTGTACCATTTACCCTGATGTTTGATTGTCACATCAACTCTCTTACATTTCATATATTGTTTTAGTTAACAATTTAAGTCATAATCTGTAATAAAATAAGTTATCTATACTGGCTACTGTTGAAAGATCATCAAAAGAATAACATAAAAACATGATAAAATGTTAATGATGAGAAAACTGCAAAATGTGGATAGTACTAAATAAAAAAACTGATACTTTTAATCTAATGTTAGTTTTCCCATTACTATCAATCAATCAATGAAAATGAATTATCAGTAGAGAGCAGACTTAAACTTTTCAGTAAAATTTTGTGTCCAGATAACTATTGTTTTATTACTGTAGGTACTGTACATGAAATAATTCAAATATGAATAGCTAAAATATTATGCAATTTTTAAATTAAATTTTCAAAAAGTAATATTCATCATATTTGAATCTTATCCTTATATATTTATTGGGTTAATATTCATTTTTTCAATCTGAAAATTAAGAACTCTTTTGGAAATAAATCAAGTAATAATAAAAATCAAGGTAAGTAAAAGAAAACAAAGTCTGTTTTCTTTTACTTACTTGTGAAAATCTATTTGAAATTACTATTCTTTAAATAATTTATTTTTGAAAATTCTTTCATTTCAATTTGTTGAAAAACATACTTAGAGTGCAACCACAGCTTCTTAAAATTGCTAAAAATATTTGTAACTTATGGTTATTAAATCTAATTTTTGCTGAAACTGTCGAAAAAGATGTGATTGTATTTTGAATTTCATGTACAAAAAATTATATACATAACTGGAACAAAAGTTTATATTCTAACTTTTACCAAAAGTATTTAGATATCATCATATTGCCAATACTGGCAATAATATACCTTTATATATACACATACACACATACAAAATTTTAAAATATAATTATATAAAACATACAAATTATAAAAAGAAATGAAAATGCAATAAAATGTAGAAAAAACTGGAAACAAATACATTAATAACCATAACCTTATACACTTTTCCAGCAAAAGTTTAATTAAAACAAACATTTTTGATCCTGTTCAGAGGTCTACCATAGGTTGAAAATTGTATTAAATTGGCAAATTACAGAAAAGAGAGTTCTAATGGCAGAACTATAATGCTTACTTTTAAATTTAGAAAATTTGAAAACGAATGATTTATGTATTTCAAAAGTTCGACAAACAAATAATTTACATATTTAAAAAATATTAAAATGAATACATAAATTAAAAATGAATAATGTTTGTTAATAACATATGTAATTTACAGTAATATCTCGACTTACGCTACCCCGAGTTACACGATTTTCAAATCTCGCTGATTCGTCTTTTGTTTGAGCACCACGCAACTCTTGATTACTCACTCCCCTCACACTATTGTTCAGCTTACATGTTCAGAAATGTCGCACGGAATCGACGCATAGCTACAATTTATTTTGTGTTATTTATTTCTGTGTTTGTTTTATCTACGGAGACTTAAGAGACTCTACTATGTCATCCAAATGAAGTAGAACTGATTCTTCTGCATCAAACAAGAAAAGAAAAACTTTATCTTTGGAATGTAAAGTTAACATTATTAAAGACTTCAATACAAAAATGAAAATTTTTGAATTGGCAAAGAAGTTTGATCTACTGGAATCGATGGTCAGAACAATTATAAAAGGTAAATAAAAAAAATTCTCAAAGCTGCGAAAAATGCTCAATCTTTAAATTCAAGCATCATTTGTAAACATCATGGTATTATTGCTGAGATGGAAACAATGTTAAAATTATGGTGTGATAAACAAGTAATTGTGAAAAATTGTATAATAATATAATATGTTATACATATGTATTATCTAAGATTTTATTAAACATTTTTTTCTAAATTATTGCTTTTTTTAGTCTCTGGCCCCAATTAAAAATTATTTGTATGTATTTATATGCAAAATTATACCCTGACTTACGCAGTTATCGCTCAGTCCCACCTATCGTGTAAGTTCGGGGTATTACTGTATTTTATGTCAAGCCTATGTTGTTTTCTCTTCCCTCATCAGGTTATCAACTAGAGATTGCCATGTTTTAAATAATGTTTCCTTCTCATTGAAATTAATGAATTCACCCTTTCTAGATGTCTGGAATATTTCAAATGCTTCCTTTGATTATAACTTGTTTATGTCAAACATCTTTTTTAATATTTCCTGGTCCCAACATGCCAACCAGGCATGCTGGGACCAGAATTGAAAATGTTTGTTTTGATTAAACTTTTGCTGGAAAAGTGTGTAAGGTGTAGTGTTATTGGTTATCCAATAAAAATTTTAACTCATCTATTTAAAATTTCTAAAAGTAGACAGATAAGAGTATGCACATGCTTAACGATATATTCTTTTCATAAGTGAAATAAAGAACTATGTGAATCAAAAAATAAGTGATGGAAAAGAGCATAAAACTTAATAAAAAAATCTTTTTATCATTATTACTGTCTTGGCAGGAAGATGGCAAAAGTAAATCACTATCAAATGCTGACTGACATAAGATCTAATTAAATCACTGTCCAGACAATATTAATTAAACCTAAAAGCTACAATTATTCTTCATGTAAATTAAATGTAGATATTTAATTTTCTCTTTTAATATAAATATTTAATTCTTTCTGTAGATACATATTAATATAAATAAAGATAAATCACACATACTTTTTCTCCATATCTAATTTCAGATCAATGCCTTGTTTCTCCAGTAACTCCAACTGAGCAAAACTCCAATCAACAGGCTCATTTTCTGCAAAAGAATTTACTTGGATTCATTGATAGTATGATATTTTATTTATGACTAATTTTATAAATATTAAAATATCTTTCTTTTTTTAATATTATGGAGAATCAGTTTTTAAATCTATTTCAATACAGTAAATTGCATCTGAAAAATGTATATGAAAATGTGATATTAAGAGATATTTTAAAATTTTATTATAGCTCTTTATAAATCACTTCTCCAAAATATCATCAAAAGTTTAACTTAGGCATAACTATATACAGCAACTATGAAATATGGGAATAGTAAAATACATGTTTGTAATTAAAAGGCTCAATTGCAAGGTCAAAAGAGATTTTTCAAAAAAAAAAAAAAAAATCAAAAATAAAAAAATAAGAGAAAATAGGACTACAAATGCTAAAAAAATAATGACAAAATACAAAATGATAAAATGAAGAAAATAACTAATTTCATCTATTCATTAAAAATAACAACAAAAGTGTATCAGTATAATTAAAGTAAGAATGCTAGAATATAGATAGGCCTTTATTAATTACATGTTCTTTTTAGACAAAGAAACAAGTTCAAAAACAAACAAATGAAAAAATATTATCAATAACTTTATTACAAATACTTCTTACTTAAAATGTGAAGAATAATACAATTGAAAAATGCATAATATTTCTAACTGGATAACTACAAATGATTCAATTTTCCTTTAGCACTTAGACAGCTCTTCAATAATTCTTGAATGTCTTTTGACCAATCTTAACCAATTATTACACTTATATAGTCTTTTTTTTTTTTTAAAGGCTTCCTGTAATCTTTTATTACTTTCAGTATTTTTGTGCTGAAATTAACTCATCTTGCAAAAATTTGATTTTAATTTTAGTATTCTTTATCTTTTCTTCATTTTGTAGTTTGCATTTTTTAAATTCCTTCTACTTCTTTTTGTTCTTCTTCCTCATACTTTTTTTTCTTCAACAGCTTTTGCTAAAGCTTACTTCTATGCATTATAAACTGAATAGCTTTTGATTACACAATTTAAGTGTTTCCTATCAATGGAACTGAAAAATTATCTCCATGTCTTCTGCATCTTTAACATGTAATATACCAATTATAGTTGACTCAAAGAGATTCAATATATTCTTTGATAAGATGTTATTAATGAAAGAGAACCTGTGCTCTACATCTGAATTGCCTTACAAAAGGATTAAGTTGTTCTTCACAAAAGATGCAAGATTTGGAAACTTTGGTTGGCCACTTAGTATCTCTTTGAACTGAAAAACATTTTTCAAAAATATATCTACACATTGATGACTTTCAGACACAAACTCTTCACATAACTTTTGTACATTTGAATGTAATCTGTAAGCATGCTGTTCCAACATTACCTTTTCTATATTCAGAGGTTTCAAATTAATACATAAACACTGAATGGCATCATTTTGTACATAAATGAATAAAGGATTTCCAAATCTTTCAAAAAAGAATTTGTTAATAGTAGACATATTTTTTAAGTCTCCTGAGTAAATCATGTGTTGAAAAAAGTAAACACTTCACCAAGGAGGTCAAATTTCAAACTTCAGGAAGAATAATGTCAGGTCAACTTAAAAATAGATAGTACTCCTCTCCTCATACATATAACAAGTTATTTGATGCTTATTTTTTGCTACCATTTGTGTCTAAATTTAAAAACCTTTAATAAACTTTATTATCATTGATATATTATTTGATAAGTAGATAAATAACATGTGTAAGAATAAATTAAAGTGAAACAGGCAATTATTTATTGTAATGTCATCACAATGTGGAAATGAAAAACAAATGAGGGGGGTTGAAATCTCACACTCCTTACCATAATATTGCCACCACCAAACTAAGTTGTTCCAACCTGGCATGAGAGATCCATTGCTTCATGAAGTTTAGATATACCTTCACTCTGCCACTTGCTTAAAACAACTGGAACTGAGGCTCATTTGACCAGGCTACATGTTTCCAGTCCTCAAGCATCCAGTTGTGATGATTCTTTTCCCATATAAATCAAACTCTTCTGTTTAGAGTTGTAAACAATGATACATGATATAAATGATGACTGTTATAAAATAAAGCAGAATGTCACTCTGTTGTCATGACTGCTGTATTGTTTAAATGCTGGCATTCACTGATACACTACAGTTGAAATATGATATGTTGAATTGCAGAATTTTTTCGTGAACTGCACAGATAATTTTCCCTTTCATTGATTTTCTTTTTGTAACTAGAGTAATTTTGCAACCGCTTTTGTCCTGATATCATGTACTCAAAGTATATACTTGGAACCATATGAGAAAATTCCAAAGTAGAAGCCATTTCCAAGATGAAGTGGTCAGCCTTCTAGCACAACAATTTGACTTCAGTCAAATGCACTTAAATTAGTGTTTTTCCTATTGTACAAGAATGCAACTCTGAATAATGTTATAAATGACTATCTGCACTTCCACATGCATGCAGGATGAATACAATTTGCATAAGAGGGATAATGGGCAACTAACCATTTTCTGAGTTAAATAGCTCTAATTTTTTAATGTTTGAGTATATTGGTATGTTTATATATACATACTTATATATGTATAAAAAAGAAACATGATACTCACTGTTTGATATTTCAGTTGGAGATTTTCTCTCTCTGCTTTCTCTTGCTATAATTTATTAAAAAAAATAAAACATTTTAGATGTATTATATTTGATTTTATATTATAATATCATACAATTATAAAAAATTCTCTAATATAAAATCACATATATAATAATACACAATTTTTTATTTTAAAATGTTGCTGATATTGAAAATTCAACTTTTAATAAAGACAAAAAATTTTAAAAAAATGCTTTTTATTCACCAACTGCACTAAAAAAAGAAAAAAATAACTTTTCTTCAGCTTTCACAGTATTCTTGGTATTATGCAACCAAAAATAAAAGCATGATGGGGTGCTCATGAGAAATCCATAAAAATTGGCAGAAAGTGTAAGTATAACTAACAAGGAAACTGCCAGATGTTCAGGTCTCTGATTTGAACAAAACTTGGTGAGCATGTAGCCCTACAAATAAACAGCTCCTTGTCCAAATAATAAGACCCACTTCTCAAGTGTTTCTGAAAAATGGGCCCCTAAAAATTTTTACATAATAAACAAAGTAAAAGCAATAAAAACTATTGATTTCATGTATTCTATAGCCATTACATAAATAAGGATTATTTCCAATAATTTTTTCATTAAAAAACAAATATGTCTTACACTACAAATGTAATTACTATTAAATTATAAACTCTTACCTTGTTCAGGATGTTGAAATCTAAAAACATGATATTTTCCAAGTATAACTCTAGAACCTGTACGCAATACCAAAGGTTCTGACACTTCCCGACCATTAACATAACACATGGCATCATTACAAGGACAGAGAGTTACTATTCCTGTAATTATTAATTTAACAATAAATTAAATTAATGATCATTAAAGTTTATTTTAAAAGAGATTAAAAAAATTTATATTTTTATTCATAAAATTCCACAAGTTAAGAATAATCAAGATTTTATTTATCATATTTGGAATGAAGCAGATTTTAATCAAAGAATAAAAAAAAATATATATAAGATTATAAAAAGCCTTGCATAAACATTTTTGTAATAAAAAATAAATAAATAGTACCAAAATGAAACTGCTTTTTCATTGCTACAAGCAATGAAAAAGCAGTTTCATTTCAGGGGACATTTAAAAAGTGTGGTTTATCAAGGGTACATTACAAATTTGACAGTTTGAAAGACAATATCACATTATATGCAAGACGCATTCTAAAGGATAAATTATGGTTAACTGTTGAACACACTGGTCATCGCCTTCAGGTTTAACACCTTCACAATGGAACCAACATTGACAAGTACCCTGCATCATGAGGTCTCTTTTACAACATGAATCATACAAATAAAATGTTTGTTGCTTGTAATGTCAATAATGACAAGTTCTGGTACTAATCTTTCTTTTATGAAAATCTCTTCTGCATGTTCTAAAATGTCACTATACCAAATATGGTTATATTTGAACTGCTAAATATCTCTCTACACCAGGTTTCTCAACAGAATTGCTATTGACCCTAGGATTGATGAAAGTTTGAGAGTCAATAAAATTTTGTAAGTATAAAAAATTTATTAAAAGAGATTAAAAATTTACATATTTTTTTCTCAAATAAATTTAGGGAGATAAATTTTAAAAATTATATAGAAGGGCTATTACATATACATATAATATTGAAGGGGGTTGAATGAAAAAAATTTTTCTTAAAAGGTTCAATATATGAAAAATGTTGGAAACTCCTATTATAGACAGTATTGAATAAGGATATTTTAATTACAATTATCCAATATATTCAATAACAATGATAGTATTAATTTTTATCGAACAATATGCTTATAACAATAAACACATAATCTAGGAGTCAGTAAATTATATTATTTACATAAAGGAATAATTAGCAAATGTTCAAAAATCAATAGACACATGAACTAACTATAAAAACTTTGTTTAATTTAATTAAATAACATTTCCAAGTTTTCAAATTTTGATGATTGATTCATGTATATGTTGGATTTTCGAAAATTATTGTTAATTACTCCTTTATGTAAATTATAAGATTCAATCAGTCTATTAAAAATTCATAATAAAGTACATTCTTGTTTAATACAATTATTATATTTAATTACCTTCTTGATTTTCAAAAATACAATGTTCGTTCATTATATGTGATCCATTTAATTTTATATCTTGAGGAACATTAGTTTCGGGTCGTCCAACTCTGAAAAGGTTTAGAAAAACATTATTTAAATGAAATTTTTACAATTAAAACATAAACTTTCTCTAAAATCGATTAACAGTTATTTAAATTACATAACTGTATAAATACATAAAAAATTAATATAATAAAATTTTTTCAATATTTATAACTGAAATTTTGACATTATGCTGAGCAACACTGTCACTAGAATATCTCATGTCTGTGTCAAGTCCAAATTTTTGTTCTGTTATGAATTAATGCAAAATATACTGTGAATTCTTATTTTTGATCACCAACAAAACTCCTTTGTGTTTGAATAATATGAACACATGGCAATGTTGTTATATACCAGTCCTTAAATTACAAATAAATTCCAATTATTTTAATTTGAAGATATTTGTTGAGAGGTTTTGTTGTTCCTTCATGCAAATAGAAATATTTTCTAACTAAAATAACATTAATTAGGAAAGAAATTAATCATCTATCAAAAACATAGTAGCAGTAACATTAGTAGCAGTAAATAATAGCTTTAATAAACAGAAATAATTACCTTGTTATTCCATCTTTAATATAATATATTAAACATTCTGACATTAATGGATCTTCATTCAAATTAACAAGATGGGGAGTCTAAAATTAATAATAAATTATGAAACTATTTATAGATAATATAAAATTATAATAAGTGGAGTTAAATATTTTATTTTATGTCATAGAAAAGCATAACTCATAGTTTTAGTTGTTGAGTTCTAGCTTATTAACACCCTCTATTTATCATAATTTTCAGAGTATTTCTGAAAACTACAGAAATATAATTCTTATTGCATTTAATAAATAATAACACAAAATATAGAAAACATGAAATGGATTCAATTCAAAAATTGCAAATTGGATCATAAAACTGGATGCTTTTGCAAATATAATATTTCAAAAGCATTCCTTTTGAAATATTATATTTGCAAAAGCATCCAGTTTATACAATCAAATTTTATTAAATAATAATCTTTGGGTTACAAGATAAACTCATGGTCCAAGTATTACTGTTCACTAATAAATCTGATTGGTAACAAGTGTTAACAAATAAAAAAAAAGTACACTTTATGCCAACATTTAACTTAATGCAACAACATTAACTAAATAGTTGTGTAAAGTGTTTGGTAAAGAAGCCATAAATGTTAGAAGTGCAAAAGGTAGTTTGTAAAAATTTTTAGTGGCAACTCTAATATTACTGATGAATCACAATCAGACCACACTTGACTCAGTCAGAATTAAAACATTAATTGAATTTAATCCAAGAATAATATGTCAGGAAATTGAATTATTGATAAAAATAACACATTCAATGGTTTTTGAACACTAAAAGCACTGGGTAAAATAATTTGTGAGGTGTGGACAGCCCATCAGTTAACCTGTGCACATAACCAACTATATACTGGATAGAGAACCTGTTACTGATAGTTTAACCTGCGCACACAAATAACAGTGCATCTTAGTCTCAATTTTAATTAATCTGCTTTTTAATAGACAAAACCATACACTATGAAACAGGAGATGAAAAGTGGATTCTGTAGGCAAATATTACCTGTAAAAGACAATATCACCAAAACAACTAACATTACCAACAGCAAAAAATTGGCAAAGACTCTTGCACAACTTTTCCAGCACCTGCATATAGGTACAGATCCTACTTTTATACATCCTTAAAAATTTCTAAAATTAGTTTAATAATTCTAAATAACTTAATTATTTAAAGCTATCAAAGGAATGTTAACATGTCTATGTTAAATAATAATTGGGATAGTTATACATTAATTTTATAGTAAAAACTTCAATACAATTTGCAAATCTCAGAATTTTTATGATCAAAAAAATATTAAAGTTAATTAGTGATAAATTAATAAATATTTAACTCTTCTAAAAATTTATTTATGAAATCTTTTCAATTATTAATTAATTAATTTTTAAGTCTATTTACTAATGGAGCTAAAAATAAATGTACAACATAATCATAGATTACATCATATACCTTATTTGGAGAGAAAACACCAACAGTATCTCCATCTTCCCTGAGTGCAACTCCCATTTCAGCAAATACTGCTTCTCTATGGAATAAAATGAAAAACAACTGCATTATTTAATATATCATACAAAAATCATCTACAAAACATTCACTATTTTATTCTATAAATTATTTATAAAAAAAAGTCTGTTTTAATCCAGAATACATTAACAACTTTCTTATGATACTCATAAGAAGTTGTGAACATGTTCCTGATTACAACAGACTTGATTACATGACAAATTTGACAGTCTTAATTCAGAGCACCAGTAGGTTTCCTGCACTTATCATATAGAGTCTGCAGTAGTGAATTAGTTTCTAAATCGTTGTATATATTTCGTACATTTTACTGTTAATATTCTACTTGGTTTGCAATTTAATTTATTTATAATTGCAAATATATCATTCAAACATATAATAATTGGAATGTATGCAGGCAGTTTCTGTGTTTTTTTTATTTTTATTTTTTTGTTTTTTTTTAACTGAGAAAAGGTTACGAATTGACCCAAAAACATTTGTTAAATGTGAAAATTCAGTGCTGGAGTGAAGTACAGGTTATTTGTTTTTGTTAAATATGGTAATTAGTTTATTTTCAATTATTTTATACTTGTGTACAAATTATATTTATGTTTTATATATCAATTTGAAACTTATTTAATGTAGATTACATCTATTTTACTGTTTAATTTCATTTATAGTAATTAGAAGTGAAAATATGCCCAATCTCACTCTTGCCACCACTGCACTCCTCCCTTCCATTCCAGCAATTAAGCATACCCTGTCCAGCGAAAATAATTTCAAGTGACATTATTTCAATTACAGTAGAGCATCGATTATCCGACTCCCGATTAACTGTCACATCGGTTAACCGACCATTCTAGTCGGCAGATTTCAAATGTCCGCTAGTGATGTGGCGCTACAATATTTGGCTATGTCTTGGCTACTTTAATATTATTTTTGTTAAATTTTTGCGTGTTTTAGCTGGCAACATTGGCTTGACCATGAAAGGGAGGCCAGTATTTAAACGATACCTAATTTTCTAATTATGATTGGTTGTTTGTTTTGTGAGCAATAAATTAATTTTAAAATAATTTTTAACGATAGAATAGCGACAATTATTATTTTAAAAAAAATTTTGTTAGGCTTAACATCGATGAAAATTCAACGCAAAGTAGGTTAATAGCGATATACTAATATACTATACTAATAATGTATTTTTTTCATTCTTTTCAGTTATCCAACCAACCCGAATCCCCAATTGAGTCAGATACTCGATGCTCTACTGTATTTCCAATTAGTTCTTAGTTTTATGTTATTAACAGAAAGGTTTTGTAAATTAAATTTTGTCAGGAAGACTGATGTCATTTCTTTTGAATAAAATGGCAACTAAACAAGTAAAGGTCTTATAGCCAGGCTTGATTAAATGTCATCAACTAAATATACATATGGAAATTAATACCTAATAAAGCATTTACATAAAAAAATGTATTCAGAGAAATTTTATAAATTTTATTTATATAAATTTACTTGATTCTTTATTTTCCTTATTTATTTCTAATTTAACAACAAATTTTTTACAGCAAATATGTTGACAGATAAGACTAGTTCTTAATGATTCTAACATAGAACTTCTAACAGTTCTTAACAGACATTCTAAAATTTAAAAGAATTGTAAAGGACAATATACTTCCCATACCAGTAGCATTTGAGTCTTGAACAATAAGAATTATTTTGAATCTTAATTCTTTTCATCTGATGGTTCTTTTAATTTAATATTTTAAGACAAAGTTCGCCCAAACTGGGACCACCATTTATTAGTTCTCATGGTCCCAGTTTGGGTAAACTTTGTCTTAAAATATTAATTATTTTGAAATTTAGTGCTGTTAATCAGGTATGTATCGTAAATTGTGTGTTTTACTATTATGACCACTAACTACTATGACCAAAAAAATAATGTGCAAAAAGGTTTTACTATTTTTATAGAAAAAGATATAAAATAAAAGACATAAAACATTTGTTAACAGCTGTAATATCATAAGTTTGCCATAAAATTATTAATTCTGCAAACTTTTGAAGTATAATTTAAATTTAAATTGTTGCATCTTTTTTGGTGCAGTTTTTTGGGTTTCCTGAGAGATATATAAATGCTATTCTACTGAATTTTATAATATTTCATTATGCATATTATTATTTAAAATTTTAAGTATTATACCTGTGGACTTTAATAGCTTCTGTTTTTTTCAGTTTTTCTTCCCATGTTTCATTCAACTCAGCAATTAACTTTTCTGATTCCTGTAATTGCTCAATAGCATTCTCTCCAGCAGGTGATACAATTTGTTTTTGTTTCTTGTTATTTATTTCCATATTATTTATTTCATCTATAATAAAAAATAATTAAAAAAAAATAAGTTTTTAAAAATAATATTTATCTTTATATTTCACTCTCCTTATAAGAATTGCAGACTGTAATTTACAGAAAAGAATAGACTAGTACAGTATAATTTAAAAAGAAATGAAAATTTCATCAATTTTTTTGAATACATAAATCACAGTTAATACTTCAATATATTAAATGTTTTACTGTTATATCAATTTAAATTAATTTTATAATTTAATTTTGATTATATTTTGAAATGAATCAAGAATTATTATCAATGTTTAAAATTTAGTTTATGTTAAAAGTTGATTGTTTGACGAGAATAGGAATGTTCTGCTGATATGAAGCTGGATGGAGAATGAATCCAATAAGTAAAAATTATATTGAATAATGATAATGAAAATATGAGAGAATTAAAAAAATGAATTCTAAAATGAACTCCAAATCAATAGGCTTAATACATTCCAAAATGAATTACAGGCAGATTGCTAAGTAATGTTACATGCAAGTAATGTACAATAGTTAAATAAAAGACCAAAATACTCAAAAACCTTTATAATGCAGTCTATTTTGTTAACATACCAAATGTTTTTGGTCAAATTAACTGACCTTCTTTGGTTTATTATAGTAGTGCAGTTAGAGATATAGTTGGATATAAGCATTTTGGACACTGATAAAAAGGAACAAATGCTATTTATATCCTAACAAAAAGTGCAAAAAGTTTCTTTTGCTCATTTTATAATCAGACAGAGCTACTTTGATCATTTGTATAATTTTGTACACTTCTGCAAAATATCTGTCAAAATAACATGAAGAAGAAAGCTCAGTGATTTTCAATGTAGCATGATTATTGGATGTTATTGCAGTATTAAATCTGTATATAAGTCTGTTTATTTCCAGACTTCTGAAAATTCCAAAATCCACTGTAGCAGATATTATTTGCCAATGAAAAGAAACTGAAGCAGTAATTCAAACACAAATTATTATTGTATTTACTTTCAGGCACTTGGCAATTTTTATCATCAAATTTTATTTAGTTGACTAAATAAAATTTGATGATAAAAATTGCCAAGTGCCTGAAAGTAAATACAATAATAATTTGTATTTGAATTACTACTAATAACTACTAGCACGGTTTCAAAATACCAGAATAAGAAACTGCAGCATTTAGACTTGAACACCAAAGTAGATGATTTTAAAAACTCACTGATCTTGGAAAAAGAGTATTAGTGCAAATTGTGAATAAAAATGGTATGCGTACTTTAAAAATTAAATACAAATCCATAATGCAGATGAAAACAGCATTTTTTTGAAATTAAAAATTGAAACATAATTTATATTATTCTATCTAACATTTGGTTCATATATTTCATAATGCTTCTAAATACGATTAAACGTCAAAAAATACATATTAAAATTTATTTTGAAAACTTTTAGCCATTATGATATTTGTATTAGCAAAATAGCAAAACTAAAACAAATTTAAGATTAACATGAATAATGATAGATAAATAAACACAAAAGATTTTTTATGTTCAATCAATTCATATATGTTACAACTAATATTCTAATGCAAAAAACAAAGTTGTTATTAAAGATAATCAACTTATAAAGCATTAGCTCAAATAAATATTTTATTTTGCAATAAAATTGAAAAATGGTATGATAAATATCTGTTTATTCTGTTATTTTTAATAATCTTAAATTAATTATTTGCTTCTATATATGTAGCTATCTTAATGTTGCTAATGTAAATTATACAAAACAAATGTTTCAATGGTATATATCTTTACATTTGGTTCAAGTTCTTTCACATTCAATTAGGATAACAATGTTCAAAATTCTTTTATGTTGTCCTGGAGAATGGATATAAATCTGAAAGCACTTCCACCAACCAAATTGTGCTGCAAGATATATTCCTTTATACCATTTATTTTGTTTTACAAAATTGGAAGTTGTGAATCTTTGGTATGTTAATAATTTACTTTAAATTAATCAGCATTCTTCGAAATCATTTCTATTCTCAACTTTATAACACTTCTTTAAACACTTTTACATATTTATATTTATTACCATGACAATCTGTATTTGGAAATTTTTTAAAATCTGTTATTTATTCATCCTAAAAGGAACCCTATCAAATGATAGTGTTAAATATATCATAAAAAATAGATGGAAGAAGTCTAGACAGTTTAACACAAGGATTGTTTATAAAGAATTAAAAAATGTAATTTCAATAATATCCAACAGAAATGAAATAAAAATAATAAAATTCATTATGCAAAAGAAGTAAAACTGTTTTGGGAAAAAGCTAAATTGTTTAATTAAGATAACTATATTTAAAAAAAAAAAAGGCTAAATAACAAAATTTATAGAAGGGAGAAAAACTTAATTAAGTTTAAATGTTTGAAAATATTGAAATCAATGTTAAGATCATTTGTAATCAAAAAAAATTATTTGGCTTTCAGATTGCAATTTATAATAGAGTGACTTTTAGAATAAAAATGTATGTAAATATAGTTTTAATATTCAGAATATATTAAATGTATTATGAATATTTCATAATTCGTGAAGTTTTACTAATTTGAATATTTTCAATTAAATAAAACATAATGTTCTAATGTAAGTGAATTGAATTTTGTTCTGATTTAAAAGAGTTTTTATTTTATATGTGAATTTATTTTTAAATGTCGCTAAGGAAACTTTATTTTAGAATTCAATTTTTATTGACTTGAAAATTTTAAATGTGAATATCTTCTACCTTTGATAACAAAATATAACATTATAGGAAAGCAGTTTAATTTTCTAATATATTACTATCTTATGAAATAGAGGATTAATAAATAAATAAACAACATTCAATCTAACAATGGTTACTCCAATAAAAACTAAATTCTAAAATAATACCATCTTTTTAATTATTATTTAAAAATATATAAATAAGCAGTTGGAATTGGTAATAGTTGATTTTTATATAAAAGATGAAATTTTCCTAATTTTAATTATAATCTTGAAATTCAAGATTATGATTAAAACAAAATTTAAATCATTTATATTTAATTAGTTATTCTAATGCAATAAGCATTTTGAGTGAGAGAACTCAAAATCCTTGCTACATAGAAAATATTTATTACAATTTCTTAGAGATGATACTGATCTTATTTTTATTCAATAAAATAAGAGTTAAAATTTTTATATAGGAACAATTCAATTGATAATAAAATATGACTTTCATTATCTTTATAATTATTTGAAAAAAATAACAACAACAATAATAATAATGTGCTATAATAATTAGAGAATTTAATATTTTATGAATAAGGTTGTGACTTTTTTATTTTTTAGAAACATTATTATTTCACAGTATTAAGTATTATTAAAAGAAAAAGAAAAATTAATTTATATACCTTTAAAATGTTATTTAAATATTTTTGTATTTAAATGTATTTAAACACAAAAATATAAAAATTTTATATAATTAAAGTGAACTAAAAAATGATGTATATAGAAATTTTAATCAATAAATACAATATACTGGAAGCAACTTTCTATTGCAGCTTTACATGCATTGATGCATAATAAGAACTTACTGCATGATTCAACATTAACTGTTCCATGGCCAGCTTCAGCATAAAAAATAAAAGAAAAGTATCAGATAAAAGTGTGAAAGAAACCAATGTTTGTCACTGAACAACTCTGAATTTTACTTATAATTATAGAAATATTTTCAGTATATTAATTATACTTATATATGGATGTTATCTAAAATTAACATTAAGTCACTGAAGTTAATTTGAAGAATTATCTTGTTAAATTTTAATTCTATAGTAAAATATTATAATAAATTTTGCTTAAATATTTTCTATTGTAAAAACTGTAATTAAATATGAAATATTTTATTGTGCTAATTATTTAATTTGAGAAATCTGCTGAAATAGAACAACTCTCCAATAGATTTTATGAATTGAAGTAATATATTTGATGCCAAAAATCATTATTTCAATAAGAAACTTCTGTAGAATGTTCATTGATTGTAGTATGTTGAAGAATACTAATACAGGAATTCTCTACATTTCTAAAGAAAAGAAAGTTTAGGATATATATTTATCTTTGAATATATTTTACTTTCAAAAAAACATTTGCCAGATTTATCAATAATACTTTTCATTTTCAATAAATCAATACACATTTCCAAATTTTTAAAATTGATCTCATTCTTACATTTCATGCAAATAAATTTCAATATAATAATAGCAGTAAATATGAAGCTGTGATGAAGTTCTTTTATGATCTTTATTTTCAAATCAATAACTTGATCTTTACTATCATTCTTAATGTACAGCAATTCACATAATGCTTGTATTATAGACTTCATATTATCTTCTTCAAGAGAGTTCCATAATATTTCAACAATACTTCCCATGTCAAATTAAAGCTTTGTTTCAAATTTTATAATTTTGGTATCTATAAAATCAGTTAGTCCAACCAAATTAAATAACTGCCAGATTATTGTCAGAATATATTTAAAATAAACAAAAATTAATGATAAAGGAGATTTAAGGTTGACAGAATTATCATCTATTAATAAATTTTAATAATTGATAACCTAAATTAAATAGTCCATCCATTCATCTATTGTACTTGTTAACCATGCAATAAAAACTGCAGCTCTCAAAATAAATGTTTATTTTGGAGTGATTAATAATAATTTTGAACCTTGTAGAATGTTGATCATTATTTTTTTAGATAAAAAGCTAAAAAATATAAGCTTTTCCAACTATTTATGCTTAAGTTATTTACAAATATATACTACACATTATTCATTAAGTATTTTATTGCATTTTAATATAATTATTAATTTTTCCAAGCATATGTTCAATGTAGTATTCTCTATTTATCATAATTAAGAATAAATATGAAATGTCTTGCATTTAATAAAAACAAACTAAGAGGCAAATTTACACAAACACAATTTGTTTTGAAGAACATGAACAACTGACTATGAATATATATACAGATTTGTTGGAATGAAGTAAAAGTTATTTATACAGACATGAGGTTATCATCATTTCAAATCAAAGAAGTTACTTTTGTAACAAGCAAAATGCTTTGGTAAATACACAAAGATAGAAACATCCTAGATCCATGACAAATTGTTAATTATTAAAACTTTGAATCATCTGATAGACCTTTTGTATTTTATTTGTTGTTTTATTTCATTGTTTATTATTTTATTTATTTTTTTTTAATTATTTAATTTTTTTGTCATTTTATGTTGTTTTATTGCTTTTATTGATTATTTCTTTGTTTATTTTGAGAAAAAGTTGAGTATTTTTAGAACATTAAAATCTAAAAGCTGCTTCTTTCACTTAAATCTATTAATGTTTGATTTTTGTTTAAATTTAACATCAAAGATGATCTGAAACAGGAATGTTAAATTCTAAAAAACATTTATACTGATTATAAATATTTCCATCCTGATTTATAAAAAGTATTAAATATTTTGTTTTTTATTTTTTCTATCTAATTTAAATAAAAATGTCGCTGTAAGTCTGTAATAAAATAATATCACAATTAATAACAGCTCTAATACATCATTAATTTATTTCCAATACATATAATAATAACTACTTTTAAATAGAGAAGAAAGTCCATGATAGAAGTATCTAAAAATAATGGCTTATATAGAGAAAATTTTTTATAATATTTTGGTAAACTAAAACACAACTGATAATAAATCTAACATTTGCTTCAACACATGTTAAAGGTCATTAGTACATGCATTTCACAATAATTGAGCATTCAAAAATGCTATACAGATGGCTATTGCCTCAGTTGAGATCTGGACACCATAAAAGAAGGTGCATGTGATTAGCTGAATTTAAATCAGTTATGCATTTGGCATCATGCATGAAAAAAATTAATGTCTTATCCCAAAGGGGAGCAAGACTCTAAAAGAGACAGGAAGCAATATATAATATGTTGTTGCAAATGAAATGGCCGATTTTTACTTCTGACTTTGAATGTTTATTAATTTAATTTACAACTTCATATTCAATCAAAATTGTCTCCACCAACATTAATACACTTTTCCCAATGCAATAGAAATGCATTGATGCCAATTTGATAGAAATCACAGGAATGAGAAGCCAAAATGTCATTAAAAGTACTTTTTATTGCATCCTCTTTCTTGAACACTTTCCTTGCCAAAAAATTGTTCAAATGTATAAAAAAAAAAGTGATAATCTGTTGGCAAAAGTCTGGAGAATAAGGTGGATGGGAAGAATTTCATTTGGATACTTTTATTTTTATGACAAATAATTAAAGAACTGCAGACCTCCAAATGATGCTCATCTCTCTCACCAAGTTCATGTGGTACCCATTTGTTGTACTTCTTGACTTTCCCTAACATGTTTAGATGTCGAGAAATAGTTGAATGTCTATGTTCAACCTTTCTGCAATTTCCTAGATAGTCAGGTAATGTTCTGATTCAATGATGTTCTCCAATTCTGATTTTTGAAATTTGTATTTGTGGAATGAAATTTTTTTAACCAATGCCTGGTGGCCTGCTTACTAACAGAGCATTCACCAGAAGTTTTATTGGTATTTCAGATTGCTTTGCATTAGGTCCCTACTTATACTAAAAAAAAAAAAATTCAATTTACTTATTTTTTCATGCCACCAGAAAAAGTACTCTTAAACATGTGGAACTCAAAATATAAATGAGATTACATTTTTAAATTTACATATTATATGTGTGCTCTTCTAATTGCAAACATACAGCACTGTTCATATGGAAGAAGTTGAACTACAAGGCCAGAAAATTTAATTTTAAAAAATGGTCATTTAATCTGCAATGACCCAATAAAAAGGTACCTTGTGAATTTAACAAGTGTTTAATACTTTAGAAAACTTAGTCTTATCCAGAGTTTTTACAAGTTTATCAGAGACAAGAAGTTTGGTTCAGATACAATTACTGCATTTGGATACTGAGAATCCTCACCAAGTGACCAAAAATGAAATAAGCAATAAGAAGAAAAAGCAAATGTCTGGTTAGGAGCGCATAACTGGTTCACTTTGTTTTTCATAGAATCCATAGTGATGACAGACACACTTATCTTGTTATCTTGACATACTACAAATCTTTGTTGTACCACATATTCCTGCAGATTTCATGTTTCAATAAGATATTACGGCATTTTTGAACAACACTTTTCCCAGACAAGGAAAATCCACCTGTCTGGCCATCTAGATCTCTGGATATGACTCGATTAGACATTTTGGCATAGGATTTTTCTCTTATATACACAGTCTTTATTAAAGTTCAAGATTTGGACAATTTGAAACAGTGTATTGTTGCAACAGTTGTTTTAATAATGTCTCAGATAAAAAAAAACTTGACAGGAACTCAGATATCATTTTGAAACCTGTCAAGCTACAAAAGGTGTCCATCTTTGCTTAAGTTTGATTCCATACTTTGTAGTTTATTCACCTCATACTAGTTATACTTATATCAAACATTGTGAAGCCAAATATGTATATAGAAACATCACCAAACAATTGCCTAAATAATCAGGCTATAATACCTACCTCTAGTAACAAATTACTTAGCATTAATCATTAAATCAACAGAGTTGTAGCCTGATTATTTAGATGATCATTTGGTGATGTTGCTAGTTATACTGTTAAGAAATTTGTTTTTAATGCTAATTAAACATTTTCAAAACTAGTTATGTCTCATCTTCAGATCTATAGTTCTATGGGTGTTTGATAATACTTTCAATCTAAAAATGAAACATAACTAGTCTAAAAAAATTTTTAACTGGCATTAAAAACACTGATTTCTTAACAACATAGCATGAAGTGAATAAAAAATAAAAAGATTTCTATGTTAAACTTTACTAACTTTCATGAAAACTTGGCAAGTTACTCTGTATAATACTAAAAAATTATTTTAATAAATCTCACAGATGCTTATATTTGGGTATTTTTGGATACTTCTAGCTTAGACACCCTGTATATATTTTTTTAACTTTAAAAATTATCCAATAGTACTTTTCCAGCCAGTTCAAACAACTAAAAAATTATAAAATCTGTTTCTAATGTTTTGAAACATAACAACCCATTTTCCAATGAGAAGAAGATATGATATAATTTACAATCTAAAATAATTTAAAATTCTAGAATAAACTTAAAAAGACACTGGCTAAAGAGCATTGTTATAAAGAAGTGAAAACAAAATTCTTTTTTTTTAGGATTAAAATCACTAATTAATTAAAAGTAATTTAGTAAGAATAAAATATGTTTTGCATTATAATAACATTGCATTATGAGTATTTTTAGAACATTAAAATCTAAAAGCTGCTTCTTTCACTTAAATCTATTAATGTTTGATTTTTGTTTAAATTTAACATCAAAGATGATCTNGAAATGATCATATTATATACTTCTATTTTATTTTATATCTCTATAAAACTTTAACAGGAATAACCATAGAGTTCCTTGAGCTTCTTTTGTAAATTATCCTTCCACTTCTACCTATAATCTATTTATAAATCCAAATTGCCTTAACTATTTTTAAGTTCTCTCATAGTTCTAATTTTGCTAGTACTGTATAATAGATTCTATTTTACCACTTTTTGCTTATTTAGAATCTGTTCAGTTGATTTAGTCACCTAAATTTTCAATATTCTTAGTGATTATTTTTCTATAGTCTGAGATTTTTCTAGAGCCATTCTTCTTTCTATGAAATTTTTTCTATCACTTCTTATAGCCCAAAACATCCAACTTATTACACTTGAACATTCTTTCTCTACTTCTTTCCACCCTTTTCCAGATAGACTTCAGAATCTTTGAATATGAACATATCTACACAAAATTATGTCTTTTTCTAGCTATAGATCTATGTTTCTTGGTCTACATTAATTGAATAATTCTCCACTTCAAATTTCTCCATTAGTTTCATAATACTATGTTATTCTGTTATTCTGATTTTCTACAATATTCCTTTTTGTATAATAAACAAAGAATTTGTGCATTTATCAACAGATCTAAATAAAAAAGGATCTAACATACAAGATGTTAGATATTTTTATCTTAATTTTAGATCTCTAATTATATTCAAATCTACACAAAAAAGTAAACTGATTGTAAAAAGAAACAAGAAAGTTATAGAAAATGAAAATTAACAAAGAAGAAATTTAATTAATTTACTACTACTACTATTACTACTATTACTACTATTACTACTACTACTACTACTACTACTACTACTAGAGTTGTTAAAGTCAGGTAACACTTTGAAAAATTTATTACATACAAACTATAAATGATATCACTTTTATATAAATATCATTATGAAAAGAAACTGTCAAAGATTTTTTATCTTAACACAGCATTACCTCAATAATGCATATGAATGCTAGAGAAAGGGCAGATGTAATATAAAATAGTCACAAAGATCACCTGATTTAACTGTTTGATTACATAAAAAAATCGTATGTATGTACTGCCTTTGCCATGTGATATATATAAAAACTATGGCAGTGACCACCATTATTACAGAGAATGTAATGAAAAAGATATGGCAAGAAATGGATTACAATACAGACATCTGCTATGTCACACATGGTTTCCGCATCAAATCTCTATAATGTTATGTGATGTGCAAAAAACTTTCAGACTCTCTTCATAATGACATCTACATTTATAGTCTGCATATAATCAATTTTTCCACGTGTACCAGACTTTATAAAAATCTAGTACTTCAATTAGCATCATTGAATTTTCAAAAATTTATCTGTAAAAATGATCACTAATAATTATAAATAAAAAAATGATCGATACAAAACCTTCCTCGCTTATTTCTAGTCGTTTATACAAGAGTACAAACTAGCTACAAATGCATAGAAGTATAAATAAATACAAATAAATTTTAAAAAATAAAACAGAAATAATTAAAAATTAATTTTCATTTTATGACAAAAAATAAATTTTATCCATCTCACAAAAATATTCTCAGAAATGAAGCAAATAAATGAATCTAACAGCACAGATACATATAAAGTTAGATGTAATGTGAAGAAAAGCTGAATAAGGGGAGACAATGTGCTCCCCACACAGATGTAGCAGACCAAACAAGATTGTCACCTATGACCAAAAAAATTAAAGTGCACCAACAGTAGATAGCACCTTAGTACACAGAGATTACATGTTTACTTTCTTTTGCAAATATAAACTTTTAAATTGATGTTCATTAAGTTTTCATTGAAAGCTAAAGAAGAAAAAAAAATCACTTGTAACATTAAGTTTTACGTATAAAATAATTTAAAAGTAATTATCAATAAATAAATTACATAATTATTTTCACATTTAATCCATTTATTTATCAAAGAAGGAAACAAAGATCTAAACACCTAAACATAAATACCTAAATTAAACTGAAAGAAACTATGTGCATAGCTGAAGCAAACAATATAATGCATTTTTACATTATTTTCTTTGCATAATTTTGTTTAAACAATTGTTTACTAAAACAAAATTTTCATAAAATAACATTAAAACAAATGACCAAGTTAGAACCAAACATGGTATGCAATTTACATACTCCAGGATTATATTTTGAATGTTTTTGTCAGCTAATTCCAAAAAGCATAAATGAATGATATCATATTATAATGCCCTGTAAACTCTAACTTAAGCATAAAAATAATATAATAAATTTATATTATATCAAAAACATTCCATAAAAATTAAATCATAATTTAATTCTAAAATATATTACAAATATTTAAATTACAAAAATTAAATATTCTTCAAAATTAATTATTCAAGCATTAATATATTTAAACTACTTACCATCTACATCTATTCCTTCTGCTTTTAACATAGCTTTTAAACGTAGAATTTCTTCTTTTAATTCTCTTATTAATTTAGCATTAGCATCTTCATTAACAACAGCTTTACAAACAATCTGTTTGGCACGATCTGCATATCTACAATAAAATAAATAAAGATTATTCTTTTATCTATTTTTATATTTTAGCTATCAAGACAATAATATATATATATATATATATATACCATTGCTGGTATATGACAATAAGCAAAAATAAGCTCTCATGGAAATCAAAACAACAAGCTGAGAAGACACAACCAGAGAGAAGTGACAAAAACATTAATTCCTTTGTTCTCTCCCACCAAATCCTCTGCATCTATTTGTTATACTCTCAAACACTGCTGTTTGTCGGTCTTACGCAAGATTTGCTGGTGCTTGCAATGTTTGCTTAATTTTTACTTTTATTCAATACTCTTAATTTATATTCAATAGCTACTGCAGTGAACTGTAATCTTTTTAAAAAAGTACATGCATTAATTGCAAGTAAACAAGAAGACAACTGTTTTTATTTTTCTCAAGAAAAGTATTCTAAAATACTTTCTGAAGTGATTTCTGCTAAAACTAAGTGCAGCACACCTTTGGATTTTAAAAATTAATGATGAAGAAAAATTAATTGTGCCATTAAAACCAGGAGAAATGAATATACAGTATTACCAATAATGAAAGTTGTTCAGTATAATATCTGAAACTCACAGCAGAATAGGCCATGGAAGAAAAACATATATGCTTAAAGAATTGCAAGTTAAATACAAAAATATTACCTATGAAGTTTCAATTTGCCAAGAACACAATATACCATGAAGGAACACACCAAAGACCTTATGAAGTCCTGTTTGGCATTAAACCAAAAAGAGGCATAGCATCGTCATCTTTGCCTGGTGAGCAAATCGCAAATATTGAAACCAAAGAACAGCTCAAAGAAATTGTTAATACTTTTAAAGGAAATTTGAGCAGTGACCATACCAAAAACCATATTCCAAAGGAAAATATTGAAGAAAAGCTGCAACCTACCACGTCTTCATATCAAGCCCGGACTGAACAACACGAGTTTATTTCTATAAAAAGAGCAGACTTGAAAGAGAATAGTCTACTGTAAGCATCAAAAATGTTACAAACATAAAAAAGAAAACTTCCTTCTGCTCAAATTGGTGATACCGTACAAATACAAATCCCTGATGTCAACCATGGATATACAGATGCCCGAAATGTGTTGGCTGTTGTTATTGGGATAGAAGACTTGGACTTTTATAAATTAGCAAACAAAAATGGTATCTTCAAGCAGCTTTTTACCCATAATCAGTTTGTGATTTGTAAAGAAAGGTTACTTTCCATAGATAAGATTTCTTCTCAAGAAATATCATTGACAGAAACAGCTGCAGCTAATTCAAAAAGTGGAGGGCAAGGCTATACATGCTGTCATTGCAAAAAGAAGTGTTCCACAAATAAATGCAGTTGTAAAAGCAAGGAACTCTTGTGCAATTCAGTTTATTGCAATTGTTGCAATAAATAAGAATGTTTAACATTAATCACATAATTTATGTGTAAGTTTATTATTGGTATTATTTTCTTTAATGATTTAGAATGTACTGTTCATTTTATGTTCAACAGTTTATGTACATGTGCTGTTACTTAAGCTTTCTTTTATTTTGACATATATCATATATTAAAAAGTTGCATTTTTGTCTTAACATAATAAAAATATTTTTATTCAACATTCACCATCAGTGCATGCTGAATGTTGACATTTGCCAGTGTAAGTGAGAAATAATGATATTTAGCAAATATTTCGTACATACACCAAGCAACTATGTCAATGCTGACATTCACCAGAGAATATCGACATTTGCCAGATATTGGTCTTATCACAGTAACATATATAACACATAACACATACAAAGAATTACTAAAAATTATTAGTGGATTTATATTCTACCTTCAAAATAAAAATATCCTGAATTACCAAATAATTTGTACTCGTAACAAAGATTCTGCTCTCTGACAATCAACAACTTCAAAAACACAACAAGCTTTGCCAGAAGAACTACTACTTTTGAAGCTGGTGATCATCAGAGAGCAGAATCTCTTTTGTTATGAGCATAAAAAGTTGAGACAGTTGTGAAATTAGCAAATAATACTTCAAATTCTTCTATTTTTTTTTTTCAAGTTAATTTTAATTCTAATCAATTCCAAGACTAATAAGATTTCTGTCATTTATAACAATTTTGTTTACTTAACTTTCTTCTTCAATACTATATCATTTCTTTCACTCTGCTGAGAAAACTCCCTTTTACCTCATTTGCAAATATGCTGGTAGATATACTTAACAAGCTTTTCCTATCTTAAAATCAAGTAAAGCCTGTCAATTTTCCTTAGAAAGTGAGCTTGAAATTTTTTTACAAGTTCTAAAATGAACTTGACAGGAATTTGTGAAGGATTTGTTTCTATGAAGAATGCATAATGGATCATTTAGGTCAAAATGAAAGCTTTTGTGTCCATCACATATCATATTGCTCTTAAACAAACTGATTCATTGCTTTTACCCAGAATGGAAAGGCAGAAAGATAGCACACACTTATTTTTATAATATAAGTCTTTTAAATCATATCAATTTGAATTTTTAATTTATGAACAATGTTATATAACTTGTTTCATTTATTTATTTATTATTCTACAATTTTCATTCTACTTCATAAATTTTTGTTCAAATAATATTACTACATCAATTCCTTTTCTTAAGAATTAAATAATATTGGAAATTAAATTATTAATTAAACAGAACAAATATTTAAACTAAATTAATTACTTCTGCTTGTAAGCAATACCAATGAACAAAAAATATATCCAAAGACATAGTATAATGATTATTGTATACTTAGCATAATACAAATATATTCAATAATATGTAAAACTAATAATGAAACATTTTTATTACTAAACCATTAAAACAAGCCAATGATGATGATGATCAAACTAAGTCATATTATATCTGATCAATATATGTTAAATAATAATTATAAATAAAAAATTAAATAGTAATTTAAATACCTTAATGTGCTGAGTGTTTCATCATAATTAATATCAGCAGGACTTACAGCAGCAATCATAGCAGTTTTAGAATTGCCTCCTAAAAATTTTTAAAATTTATTTATTTATTTATATAAAAAAATTTATTTGTTTAAGAAATAGAAACAATTTTACTGATAAGAAAAATAAGTAATCAAGAAAATATAAGTAGCTATATAAATCTAAAATTTTAACTATTTTAAATTCACATCTGTAATGAAATAACGGCTTTAGTAATGTAATTATAATATGCATATAGTATATATACATGCATGCATGTATGTATGTATGTACACTTGCACACAAATCTTTGAAAGCCAGAATATTAAAGTTATTTTAGTATTACTGTCAATTTTTTCTCAAAAAATAACCTGTATAAGACAATCTGTAAAAAATGAACAAAATGATCTATTTGTTATACCTGTGTTATTAATTTGTATTAGTAAGAAACTGTCACAGATGAAAATTCATACAAGTATTTAATCAAAACACCAACACAAAAACATTATGAATGAAAACAAAAAAATCAATCAATATTTGTTTTACTTGGGTGATGATAAATTTTAGAAAATACAGTAGAACCTCCATTATCCGGACCTCCATTATCCGGATTTTCGATTATCCGGATTGTTCAAAATAAACAAAAATTTTACAAATTTGCTGATTTGCACTTGGCGAATTACGACACTATTTATGTACGTGATGGAATGCATAACTTTTCTTGTTTCAACAACGTCTCACCCAGCACAGTGGTCATAAACTCTTAATATATGTTACGTAGTAATAAAAATATAACTTGACATACGTATTTATAAATAATTTATATTCAAATTACATCATTTCTATGACCAAGGGCGGCATAAGGCATGGACAACGTGGGACGTCCCTTCGGACTGTGAGGCATAGGCGGTGGCCTATGCCTCGTGGTCCGAAGGGCCTCACGCCTCGAAGGTTTATGCATTACTTAAAAGCCGTGAACACGACGAAAAAATTTTACTCGTCATAAAACGATAAATAGTTTGTCAAATTTTTATTCATAAAAATGCTGTTTCAACTGCTTTTTATTTTATAAAATCCGTCTTCTTGCGCCACGTAGTCTGTTAGCGTTGGTCAGTAGTAGTCCAAATTCAATAGGAACGTTTGTTTCTTGAAAATTTGATCACGATTTAAATACAGTATTTACTTTTAATATTACCGATAAGTCATCGAAAAGAAAACGTGTTGTATTATCATTAAAAGACAAATTAAAGTATTTGTTTCGATTATCCAGATTTTTCCTTATCCGGACTACCTTCATCCCCAATTAGTCCGGATAATCGAGGTTCTACTGTAGTTTAATTAAATAATATCATAACTGACATTAACAAATTTGTAAATTGTTATAAAGGTACTAGCAGACCCAGCCATGTGTGCCGTGACTCAAAATGAATCAATTGGGGACTGGGGTTGTTCAGAAAATCTATTTTTCAGATAACTGATTGAAAAAATATTTATTAATATACAGTAGATACTTAAGCTTTCTTTTATTTTGACATATATCATATATTAAAAAGTTGCATTTTTGTCTTAACGTAATAAAAATATTTTTATTCAACATTCACCATCAGTGCATGCTGAATGTTGACATTTGCCAGTGTAAGTGAGAAATAATGATATTTAGCAAATATTTCNACTTGTTCGAATCTCACTCATTTTTTAAACCTGAAGAAGACTGAAAGTACAGTCAAAAGCACTTGTTTTCTATTAAATATTTACTACTGGACTTTTAAGGTTTATGAGTGTTCATTTACAGAAAATACTAATGAATATGGGTGAAAAAAATCATCAAAATGTGAAGAATATCAAATATTATGAATATAGAGGTTCCACTATATATAAATATTAAGAACTTATAATTTGTAATTATTTTTCCATAACTATAAAAAATTAAAATACAGTGAGTGATCGGTTAACGAACATAATCCGTTCCAAGACTTTGTTCGTTAACCGATTATCGATTTACCATAGGTTTCTATGGGAAGTTGATTAATTCATTCTGGAGACTCCCAAAAAATAAAAAATATATACTTTCTTACTATGTTTACTCATATGTAATAATAAAAATACATATATACATGGTCTTTTTTATTAATCATGTTTTTTCCATTTGTGGGGGTTAAAGAATCTGTCTAATGTCGATTTTTCAGAAGTAATTAATCGCATTGTAATTGTAGAGATCCCTAAACCTATTAACCTCAACCTGGTTTGGATGCCATTTTAAGACCGTTGTTCTGACATCCTCCCACTTCTTCAAAAGATCTTTAATAGCAGATATCAGCATAAATCCACATTTTCGGAAGAAAACGTAAAGAATTGTTTCTGTAGAAATATAAAAGACTGGAAATACAGGGGAGAGTTTAAAGTTCGGGGGAATACTATCTGATCAGTATATACTGGGTTGAACATCGATGTCGACATCTCCCACGCTCCGAAAAGTTTCGAATTGTTGCCTGAAGACAAAGGAAGACCAATCGGTATTCATTATTTTATGTCGCTTCTTGTGGCTAAACACCAACCAAATGCCGAAATTTTATCGGTCTACTTTAAGGCTCTATAGATGGTGCCTAACGCTTACCTTTAGAGCCAAATTGGTTACGTAATTCATTTAATAATTAGCCTTAAACTAGCCTGATAGAATTTCGGCATTTGGTTGGTGTTTAGCTATATTATGTATCAGGTCTAGCGATGTTTGTCGCTTCTTGTGTTTGTTCAGTGAAGTGTTCGTTATCCGAGCATGTGTTCGTTGTCTGATCATAAAAATCTTTCGCGAAAGTGTTCATTATCCGATTTGTTCGTTAACCGATCTGTTCGTTAACAGATTACCTACTGTACTTATATAAACACAGGGATGTCATCAATATTTATTCGACTAAATAAAAAAATATATTTTACAGAAGTTTAATGATTTTCATACAGAAATGATAAATTTTTTGAATATATGAAATTTACAATTTTAAATAGTTTAAGAAAATTAAAAAATTTTATTTTTAAATTTTCTCTCAAATGAAGTTTATATGAATTCCAAATCAATGTATTTTAAATATATATTATTTGTAAAAAATTTTGATATTTGTGTTTACTTAAAAATATGAAAATCAGCAATATTTAAATTAATCAAATTATATTTATATTACCAGTTCATTTGTAATATGATGACAATTAATTTAATAATTAAAAAAGAAATACTTACTGAAAAATGAAATAGTACATTTGAGTACATTACAAGAAAAAATCTATCATCTCAATAAATTAAAACATTCTAGGTCCTATGAGATATTAAATTTTTAATAATTTTTTTCTGTATTATTTCATTTAGTCTTATCATTGATTATTCTTTATTAAATTTTTAAATTATTATTTAAGTTATTTAATTAATATACACAACTCCTTGGTGTTCCACCTGATCACCACTGATGACGTTTTGCTTATATTTTTTAAAAAATTATTTTAAATTGCAATACAAATATAGACGTGCCACTAAGTGACAACATCAATGTTGAACCACCAAATCCAATCAGAGGTGAAGAGTTGATAAAAGTAAGTTGAAAATTGATTAAATTTTCAACTTACTTTTATCAACTCTTTACCTCTGAAGATATTTGTCATATAAACAGCTTTCTTTTAAAAAAATATTTTTCAATTACAGGCAGTTCCCAACTTTATGACATGAAAGAATTCTTAAAAATGTGTACATAAGCTGAATTCCAAAAGTCAAACAATGGAGTGATATATTTTAAAAGGATTCTATTCTCAGACAACTAAAAATAAATATTATATAAAGGCTAACTGTAACCTCTTTGGATGTGTACACAATTTTCAGCAAATAAAACAATATAATAAAAATTTAATGCTTTGTCTATGAGAAAATCCATTTCCAAAAATTCCTGAAAACTGGTGTGTAAAGAACCAAATAGTTTTTTGCATTAGAATCCTATTTAATTCTTCTATCAATATATACTTCAGAAATAAAATAAAACAAAGTAATTAAATTCATTAATTTTTTTTACAAATCTCCTGTGAGTAAAAATTATTAGAAAATTAACAAATTAAATTTTCAGAATTCTGAACCATGTGTTAATAATTAAATAGGATTCTAATACAAAAGAACTGTTTGGTCTATCTATTTCAATTTTTGAGAACTTTTGGAAAAATCCTTATTCAAAAATTCTTGAAAATAATAATGGGAAATAGCAAAATTCTAGAAAAAGCATTAACTTTTTACAACCATCTGCTAAAGATCACACACATAACTAGAGGTTACAATCAGCCTTAATATGAAATTAATTTTTTGCATTAAATATATTAAAATTCATAAAACATTTTAACTAATGTCCAAACCATAAATTAAACAAACAACACAAAAAAAATTGATTTTTAAAAGTAATTTTAATATTATCAAATCTAAACTGCACAATAACCTGAAACCTTTGTTGCCTGAAAATGTACAAAGGTCCAAATTTGGTATATGAAAATCAATTTAATGTTATCAGTGTATTATGTATGAAAAAATGAGCTATCTGAAAAATCATGCTTGTATATTAAGAATTGCTTGTATATTGTTTCTTAACATACAACTTCTAAAAATACAGCTTCAACATAAATTATACTTTATATACTTTTATAACAGGATATACTTCAATATAACAAGATATACTTCAATTTTTAAAACATACCAAGATTTTCCCGTAAAAGCCAGGTCAATACAGAATCTCTATATGGTATGAAGTCACCTTTTCTTCTTTTCTTTGTTGCCTAGAAATATTACAAAATATTTTAACTATAATATATAATAACTCTTTAACTTAAAAATTAGCACTGTTTTTAATAGTCAAAAAATGTCCTATAATTGAAGAAAATATATAAACTATCAGTTAAGTCAGAACTAGTGATCAATGGTTAGGAAATTTTTATATTTAGATGCTTGACTTTTTTATAATTGAGTGCTCAAACTAATTCAAGTATAGCAATTAAAATTTTCCAATTATTACACATTTTTCAAGCTTACTGAAAAACTAAATTAAG